CTTTGGGGAGTTATAGTCCTTTTCAATTCCTAAGAAGATCCGCCACTGATATCTATAGATAACAGTGAAATAAAGAAAAAAATTAAACAGTGAGAAAACGTCCACGGATTGGGGTTGGCTAGAAACTCCACTGCCATGAATTGAAAGGAAATGAATGTAGGTGAGAGTTCTATGTGAGGCTGGCCAGACAGAAGTGTCATGGGGCTGCATTTTTATGTGAGGCCCACTATATATTTAATGTGTCTGCTGCGAAACCATTTTCTAAGAGATACTATTGGAAAGAACTGAGATTCGGATGACCTTTTATGAACACTTTTGTTTTTGATGGAACACAATGCTGTTGTTTGTTCCATGTAAAACCTCATTTAGTGTAGCAAGGTTTCTCATTGTTGTATTGAATGAAAGAATTGGGAATTGTGGCACTCAAATACCTTCCCTTGGAAGTTCCCGTCTTATTGATGTCTCAATATCAGAGCCTTTATAAATTATCACTTCTCTGGTGCTTTACTAAATGAACTTGTTTGCAAGGGACCCTATCCTTGGGTAATGTTTGACCCACCTTTTTATTTTTTTGCTTTTATTTAAAGGAACATGAGCCAAATATTTGGAGAAAAGTTCTTACTTAAGGAACTTAAGTTTCCTTCAAGAAAGAAGGGGAGTGATAACTTTATAAAAGTTGTTTGTAAAAATGAGTTGCACTCCTAAGCTTTTCTCTCCCTTTCGACCCGAACCAATCAACAAAATGGAGCTTTTAGTTTGAAAGGAATTTCTGTCAAACAACTACTTTAATTTTAAGCAAACTTTTATTTTTTTGAGCTTTAATTTTAAAGTAGCTTTTAAGCCAAAAAAAAAAAAAAATCTGAGCCGAACAGAGCCTTACTATGTTATTGTTTTTTTAATACAGTAACATTTGATATTACTTTAGTTTCTGTCAGGGATCTAAATTGCGTGCTATAGAGGGGCCATTGTAGTGGGCTGCTTTGCCAGCCATAGTGGGTGCTATAAGGGCACTATATGTTTATTTCAAAATATCCCTTTGAACATAGAGACATTAAGGGATTATTGGAGTGCTATTTTCGAGGTTTTAATTTTCAACTTTGAAGTCTATGTAGATCTAACTTTTATTGTCATTCTGTCAATGATGTAGCAGGCACATACAAATTCTTTACCCAGTGCTCTGCTGGCTTCAACAGTTCAAACAGCAAGAGAAGATATCCCATACTTACCCTTCCCTGCTACACAATCAATACCTACAAAATATAGTAATATTGCTTCTTCAATTGGTGGTTCCACCATAACCATGTCAGAGGTGCACTGCTGCTCTTAAGCTTATTCAAGTTTCTCTATGTAATAATGACTTTTGAGAGATATGAATGTGTTATTTAAGCTTCTCTATGTAATGGATAGCAGTATTATTTTTATTATTTTTTAATCTTTGTTAGCCGAAAAGTGAATAGTGGAATTAAGAATTTTGGTTTACTTTGAAGTGCTTAGGTAGTATTAAAAAAAAAAAATTCATGAAGATGTTTCACAAATTTCACCCTGGCTATTAAGTAATAGTTATAGATTACAATTACATGTGTTACTGAGCTCAAATAAGTTGATTGTGTTAGTTTTCCAGTACTGCTGGTCAAATCTATTTGTTTCACCTTAAGAGAAATGTTTGTTGAGCTGGTCCTGAGCTTATTCTGGATTTAAATTATTTGTTAGTGATTAAATTTGCAGGTTTTGTTGTTGCATCTCTATTTTGAAGTTTGTATAGAATAGGAAAAAAAAAAAAAAAAAAAAAAAATATATATATATATATATATATATATATATATATATATATATATATTTTTCAGTTATTTGATACTTTCTCTTGTCAATGTGCAGGCTTTAAGAGCTAGCGGCATCTCGACACCTCAACCTAATGCCCAAACACTGTCTGGTGCAAGTGTTGCCACTGGACCCGCACTTCCTCAGCATCTTCCTGTGCATCCCTACTCCCAACCCACTCTTCCTCTGGGACACTTTGCTAATATGATTAGCTATCCATTCTTGCCTCAGAGCTATACATATATGCCATCAGCTTTTCAGCAGACTTTTCCTGGAAACAGCACATATCACCAATCTTTGGCAGCAGTGCTTCCACAGTATAAAAGTAATGTTTCTGTCAGCAGTTTGCCTCAGTCTGCTGCTATTCCACCTGGATATGGCTTTGGCAGTTCAACAAGCATTCCCGGAGGAAATTTTTCTCTGAGTCAGCCTGCTGCTCCTACTGGGACAACCATTGGATACGAGGATTTGATTAACTCCCAATTTAAGGACAGCAATCATATGATATCACTCCAGCAGGTACAAAGATCTAGATTTTAGAATTATTTACTTTTGACTGTTTTTTTCTTTCCTCTTATGAGTCTTTTCTTAAAAGTTGGCAATTTCGTGATGGTTCAAGCTAAAAATTATATGTTAAAATTTATATTTATGCTTGTTAAAAACTATGATCCTTTTAAAGGCAAGGTAAGGCTGGCTCTAGGTGTGGTTCCCTTAGTTTCTTGAATATGTGACTCTGAATTGTCGGTTTTTGGGAAGTGGTGGTGGGGGTGAGAAAGAATACGAAATGAAGCCTTGAGTACTTATTTTCATTTTATTTATATGTAAAGCTGAAATGGGTTTATTTGGTGTTTTCTGGTAGAACGAGAATTCTCCCATGTGGGTTCAGGGGCCTGGCTCTCGAACAATGTCCGCAGTTCCTCCCAGCAACTATTATAGCATGCAGGGACAGAATCAACAACAACCAGGTGGATTTCGGCAAAGGCAGCAGCAACAGCAACAGCCTTCACAGCATTTTGGATCCCTTGGGTATCCTAATTTCTACCAATCTCAGAGTGGCATTTCTCTGGAACACCAGCCACAAAATCCTCGGGAAGCCTCTTTGGGTGGGCCTCCAAGCCAACCATCCAAGCAGTCCCAACAAATATGGCAAAACAGCTACTAATCGTAGTCACCTCCCAGTTTTTCAGGGTATTGATGTGAGTTTAAAAGTGGCTAATCAGAGGCATTAACGGTCTAGTAACTTTGTATTATTGTTTGGTCTCTAGAGACCATGAGCCCATTGCCACGAGGTTGTATTCTACATAATTATGTTCGTCACGTTTAACGTAGGTACTAAGTGTGCTAATTTGGTTTACTCAGTACGATTTTTGTTTGTTTTAATATTGCCATCTGATCATAGTGGAGAATCACTTTGGGATAGTTTTCTTACCTGTTAACTCGTGGCGTTCACTGCTGTGTTATATTCACATGTCAAAGTTCTCTCCTTAGCCAGTATGGACCATCTACCTATACCTAAATGAGATTAAGTTGACAATCGTTTCAACTTAAAGAACACACTCATATCATAACTATGCACTAGGTTTTTTCCCCCAATCTCATCATTGGCTACTAAATTGATAATGGTATGTTTTGGTAAAGATTTAGAAGTATTTTAAAAAAAAAAGTAATAAAATGAAATCAATTTTTCAACAAGTTTAAAAGCTTAATTCTTTCCTTCTATAACGGGCATGAATTCGGAGGCTATATTATATAGGCCTCCCGTTCAGAAACTGTAACAGCTTTTCTTTGGTTTTATTTTAACGCAACGACGTTTTAATGGAACGTTGTTTTTGCCTGTGCATTTCGCACGATGCTGATACTGCCGTAGTTTTGCAACAATTTAAAAAAAAAAAAAATACAAATTTAGTTTTTTAGGTTTGAAAAACATGCCTTAACGCATAAAATATTTTTGAAATTGTAATTGTTACTTAACAAGTGTTTATTAATATTATGATTACAATCTTTTTATTGTATAATCATCCTACGTAATATTAAACATCAAATGTTTAAAACTATTAAATAAATACTAATTTTTGTTATACTTTTAATATACTAAATGGCAGAATATTGACCATGTTTGAGTAAATAAAACATGAAAAATACTTGGGAATAATTTGTTGTGTTCATAAAGTCTTATTCTAAATTATTAAATATACTTTAATTGAATTTTATCTGATAAAAAAAAGTAAAACTTGACTCCTTTCCGAAAGAAAAATCTCATCCATGATTGACTTTAAGTTAGATATTTTATAAAAATATCTCATTTTAAAATATGTTAAATTAGGTCCTGAATTATTTGACAATTTTAATAAGATCTATGGAGTATTTTCTATTTTTAATTGTGAACTGTTATTATAAAATATTAACCTAAGAGACCTAATTAGTTCATAAATCCCGTATTGATATTTATATAGGTTTGCATGGAGCATTCTTGCAAATATAGGCCAATATTCTCACTTTTTTATTCAATCTAATATTCTTTTATAAGTCTTCAATTAAAAATGGTAAAATTTAGGAGTTAGAGATGAATTTAATTTAACCTTTAAAATAAGAATAGATACAAGTCACTTTGCTCGGTTCAGAATAGATGCTCCCTTCAGGTAGACACACCAAGTCCGAATATATGCAAAGTTTTGGTTGATTGACGAGAGAGTAGAAAGCAACTGTGGACACCAAAGTTGATAAAGAATAGATGCTTGAGGGAGTAAGAAGTTGAATTACAGTAAAATAAAGTAGTACAATGATTCCATTGTTTTATTTTATAGTGAAGAACTATGCGCCTAACATGAGTAGCGCGCACTACCTGATTTTTCTTTTATTAATTAATATTTAATTCTATAAATATTCTTTGGGGATTGAGAATTTGAGAGATTCCACTCTCCTCTGACTCTGATAATTTCCTTTCATTCTTCAAATCATATCAAATTTCTCAGTTGTTACTTTCATCATTATTTACGGTTTTCTTTCTTCAACTTTCATCAGCTTTGCTTCATCACTGTTGCAGTTTAGTTTGGGTAGCAATTTGAATTTTGTGCTTGAAATCACAAGTTTTCGAACACCACGCCACTGTAACTTTCCTCATATGAGAGAGGTTTTGAAGAGGTGACTTAAAGCTCTATGTTGGGTTCACTACGAGCAGAAAAATGAGTGATTCAGAAGTTCAATTATATTCCTCAAGAACAACGAAGAAACCAGATAGCCAAAAATCTTATCATGGTAGAGATCCCAATCATGGAAGTGACTTTTGGACAGATGGGCTTATTTGTGCTTTTGAATATGTTCGAGGACAAAACAGATCAGCTAAATCGAGGTCCTCATCAAAGGCCACGGATAGACTACACGTTAATGGGCAACAACAGTTAAAAAAGCATGCCCCTTCTGATGGTTTAAAGGAGGTTTCTTCTGTGAGACCGGATAAAAACAAGCTGTCAGATCCTTCATCTATTAATGATGGTGGTCATTGGGTACCCATTGGATGGGCAAGAATTTCAGAACTTGTCCAAACCGTTCAGGTCGATGCTGTCTGGTCTTCTCATCAATTTGAGTTTGAGGATTCTGAAGATGATTTTACTGTAGCAGATTTGGCAGCTCCCTATTGGGAGCGTCCAGCTGGGCCTATTTGGTGGTGCCATGTTTCTGCTTGTCACCCCACTGTTGAAACTTGGCTCAACAATGCTCAATGGCTACATCCTGCTGTTAGTCTAGCTTTGAGAGACGAAAGTAGACTTATAAGTGACCGGATGAAACACCTTTTGTATGAGGTACGTAGCATTTTCAATTTTAGTATTTCCTACTCTTAACAAATGCTATTATTTGACAACCTACATTTAGATCTTTGTTTGCTATAACGCATTTACTTGCACCAAATCAAGCATTCACATAACAGTCGGAAATTTGGATATCTAGTACTTGGAGTAACTTAAATAGTTTAAGTAAGTATAGATAATAGCAACAAACTTTTTGGTATGTGATATGGTGCATTTTTTAGGAGTTTGCCAAGAAAAATAAGATCTGGTAAGGCTTTGGAAGTTAAGAAATCATAAAAACTAAACGAGAAGAATAAAAAAGTAAACCTTGGATTCTTTAGCCATTAAACCTCAGGCTTGATTGCGTGTCACATAACCAGTAGGTAGCAGGTTCTCTGAAAGAACGCAATTTAGGTCATTTTTGTTGTTGTTGTTTTCTAGGGTATTAGTACTGATTATTCATGGTTCCCGAAGGGACCTGAGTATACATGGTAGATATTCTCCTCCTAATATGGTTGATTCCATATATAAAGTGATATTACTAAGATTAACCTCGTGGTTAAGACAGAACTTTCTACTACTTGTGTCAACCATTGGTGGAAAAATAATATAACTATTTAAGTAGGCATAATGACTAGGACAGCCCCGAAAGAAAACCTCCAATGACACCCCACAATGATTTTTCCTCAAAAACGGGTCTAATTCAGTTATTGATTGGAGTTTACTCTTATTTGTAGGTCCCAGTCAGAGTTGCGGGAGGGCTGTTATTTGAGCTCTTGGGACAATCAGTTGGTGATCCTCTTGTTGAAGAAGATGACATTCCAATTGTTCTTAGGTCTTGGCAAGCACAAAACTTCCTTGTAACTGTAATGCATGTAAAAGGATCCGTGTCCAGGATAAATGCTCTGGGTATAACAGAAGTTCAGGTTGTTCTTGCTCCCTGGCCTCTTTTTACACATTAATATTATTGTGACTTGATCACGTTCTTGATTCCCAAAATTTAGGATGCTTCTGGTCCCCAAAATTTTACAGAAGTTTATTTTACTTTCTCAATTGAAAAAAAAAAAAAAGATTTTAATCCTTAAACATTAAATTTGAGGGATTAAAATGAGTTCTTTAAAATTGTTTTAGTTTTTCAAATTTAGTGTTTGGGGACTAGAACCATACTTTACTAAATCCGAAGGATTAGAATATATGGTTTTTAATTTGAGGAACTAAAATAGGATTATTTTCCAAAGCTGAAACTCATTCAGTGACCCACTATGGTAGGAGCTCCTTTCTGCTGGAGGGTATAATGTACCCAGAACAGTGCATGAAGTTATAGCACATCTTGCTTCCCGCCTCTCACGTTGGGATGATAGGTAATGACAGCATTTTCCTTTGTATTTTTTTATGAGTAATAAGTGAATTTTTCTTCGTGTTTGATCCCAGTAAAGCTCACATGAACAATATATGTCAGAAACCAGAAAAACGAAAAATGGCAAACTATATTAAGAAAGAAGAGAAATGTATTACAGTGGTGTATTCTGCAATACCCACAGAGCTAAGCTCCTATTTCTGAGTAGGGTTGGACCAACTAACTCTTGAAGCCATACAATATACATGTCAGTCTCTTGTCTCATTAAGTTTTTCTACTTTCTATTCATAAGTATAAACATTGTTAAATAAGTTTTTCTACTCTTATTTTACAGCAGATTAAAAAGATCTTTTGCTCTTATGAGTTGGCAAAGATTTTTTATTACTGCATATCGCACTTGAGAAAAAGTAAAGTGGTGATATCATATCATGTGTTCATGTTTGCCTTCTCCTTTGTAAATAGTTTGTAGAACATATTTTCTATCATATCATGCATTTATGTTTCCCTTTCTCGTCTATAAACAATTTGTAGCACATATGCTTGTGCACTGTGACTATATAGATATAAGCTAAGTTAATCAAAAGTATGATTTTTTTTTTCTGAATTTAATGTAGTGGTTTCCTTGAATTTTGGATGGTCCAAATTTGTTTGATGTGTATCAATAGGAAAAGAACATACATAAAAAGGAAAATAAAATTACAAAATAGGAAATAGACAAATATATATAAAATGAATAGGAAAATGGACAATTGAAAGTACTCATCAGCTTAGATGAATTTCTAGACGGCCTGAGATTCTGTGGTATGAATTTTTCAAATTAATTGCCTGTAGTGAATTTCAATCAATACATTGCTCAGCAGAGAATAGAATACTAACGACAAGCTTTCAATCTGAAAAATAGGAGAGTTTTATATGGTTCACATGCTGAAAACCCCTGTACTTAAACTCAACATGACTCTAAACTCATGAGTACTATTTACACTGTGTATCCACTCAACTTACATGATTAATTACATGTATAAATATGGTTAATCTTGTGATAAATGTGGTTGAGGTAAATGTGATACAAAAAGATTGAGAAAGTTGAATATTATTGCTTCCTGTGTTATGAAAATTGAATGTTACAACTAGGTATTTGTAGGTTCAAAATGAGTTTTCTATTTTAACTTCCTTGATATTTTGTCTAAAATATTTGCTTAAAAAAAATATCCAAAACTAACATAAATATCTACTAAATCCAAACTAAAATTAAATGCTTCTCTTCAACTAATTGAGATTGGTCATAGATCATCGATTTGCCCGACTTCACTGCTCCTTTCATCCTTCATCTCGGATTCAACTTTAACAATAGGTTAACATTCGGATTTTCTCATCCATAACAACTCCCCTCTTAATCATTTTCCTACACTTTCCAACCCCAATAGTGGATCTCCCACTTTTTCCAGTCTGAAGTTGAACTTAGTCAAGCTAAGTCCAAGTAGTAGATTCCAAAGCGATCCTGTTCAAACTCATTCATCATTGTATTCTTTTAAAAATAAGACTATTTTGAGCAACATCGAAAGAAGAAAGACTTATATCCCAATGCCATAAGGTTTTGGGTTGAGAGTGATGTCAATCCCTTATATGGGTTGGGCTCATGTCTCATTGGTGTTGTCTCTCCGTAATAAATCCCCCCATCGAAAGACCCAATAACCTTAAGGCATTGGGTCTTTCTTTCTTATGTATTGCTCAACTTTCTCATTCTTACACAATGTGAGACTTAAACTTACACTTAGATTACCTAACATGACCATCAATAGTAAGCATTCACATCTTCTGCGAGATTGGTTGTGTCTTCCATCTTTTTATCAGTTTGGTATTCTTTAGCAAAATGCCCAATCTTACCCTAATTGTCGCACTTGTCCGAGTAACAACCCTTTATATAGTAGTCATATTTGTCACACTTAAAACACTCACTATTATAGGTTGGTGATCGATCTCCTTTCCAACCACATCCTCTACCACGTCAGTTTTACTGGTTTTCTTCTTTTTCCTCACAACCCCTACCCACCTCGTCTCGACCATTACTTTATCGTCCTCTACCTCGAGTATTTTGAGAGTAGAGAACTTTCTCTTCTCTCACAATTGTCTCACTCTGGAGTGCGTAAATTGTTGCCTCCTCCTTCTTTTTCTTCTTTCGGTATTTCAAGAGAACTAGCCAGCTCTTGTACTGTGAGCTCGGACAGGTCCTTTGATTCCTCTATCGCGCACACCATATTCTCAAAGTTATCGACCTTAAGATCTTCTCCACAACACGGACTTCACCACGGTTTCACTATGCGTCATGTACTTGAAAACTCCTTCTAACTCCTTCATTCTCATGCTCTCCATCTCGCCACGTAGTGTTTGTAGCCGAACTTGTTTGACTCTATCATCACCTTTGTATGCTCTCTCTAACGCATCTCATACTTCTTTTGAAGTTTAACACTTACTATCTTCTCAAAGCCGGATATATCAGCATCTTGGTACAACATGTACAGGGCTGTCTTATAACGTTTCTCTTTCAATGCTTTGTTTGCGGCTGTTGAAATTCCTTTGGTGCTTTCTGGTTCTTTAAATCCATCCTTGACTATCTCCCAATTATCTTGGGATCCAAGAAGGGGCTTTATCTGGAAACTCCAATTATCATAATTGATTGCTTTTGTCAGCTGGGACAGGGCCACACTATTTGTTAGATTGACCATCACTTTCTTCAAGCTCTCTTTTACTTGAATACTCAAACTCTAGCTCTGATACCAATTTGATAACAAAGAGATTGAGGACGCTGAATACAATTGCTTCTTGTGTTGTGAAAATTGAATGATATAACTAGGTATTTATAGGTTCAAAATAGGCTTTTTGTTTTAATTTCCCTTATAATTTGTCTAAAAGATCTGCTTGAACAAAATATCCAAACCTAACGTAAATATCTACTAAATCCAAACTAACATAAATATCTGCTTAAACAAAATATCTAAACTAACATTTAAACCTAATATTTAATTTTATCCAACAAAATGAATATAATTATATACATGACTCATAGTTAGAAGGGGTTCCTTGCATTTTTGGCTATTAAAAAACTCTGAATCTGTTTCCTGGCTCCTCAGTGTGTTTTGGATTGTGTTTTGGCACCCTTGATTATTGTCACACACCCAAAGTTGATTCTTTATTTTTTGATTAATCTGGAACTCTGGATGCTTCTAAAAACATATCCCAATTCTGGAAAAAGAAGAAAAAGAAAGTGAAAGATCAGTCAGAAGTAGGTTAGGTCTTTTGTTCTATTTATATAACTTTAGATGTTTGAGGGTGAATTAAGTTTGAAAATAATATTACATGTTCTGAAAGAGAAGCTATCAAGCATATTAAAAAAATAAGTTACTGTGTTTATGGAAAACAAAAAGGAATATATTGCGTTGTCTCTCACTTGTATCTCCGTTATCCACAAAAGAAAGGAAAATGTGGATTGCCAGTTAGATTTTGTTGAATTTTGCTGTTAAACTTTATTCTCTAGATTTGTGCACTTTTACGACCTCATACTTGATTATACAGGCATATTGTTTCCTTAGGCATGTCCTAAAGATGGACAATGTACCTCTTGCTTTCATTGATCTCCCAGCACACTCGTTTTTTCAACTGCAATTTATGTAAACTTCAAGTCATTGTTACTTTGGTTTGACATTTTTATTTAGTTTTTCAGACTATTCCGTAAATCTATATTTGGGGCCGCGGATGAGATTGAATTGAAGTTTATGAACAGGTTCTTAAATGTGCAGTGTGTGAATTCAAGTCATTCCATTCCAGTTCTAAAATTGTCTTGCTCTATGTTAACAGTTTTCTCTTTTACTAGGAGAAACCATGAAGATTTGAATCTTTTCATCTTAATCTTAAATCAAGAAATCAGAAAGTTATCAACACAGGTATATTCATTCTTGGCAAGCAAAATTCCATAAACCAATCAAGCTGAACTCCGGCCTAATGCTGCTGGACTCTTTTGATTAGACTGATTTTAATTTTTAATGACAATTCATAATGGCCAAATCCATTACACAGAGAAGCTTCTTACAACATTTGTGTTTCATTGCAGGTTATCAGAGTGAAGTGGTCACTCCATGCAAGGGAAGAGATTGTCTTTGAGCTTCTCCAACATCTAAAAGGAAATGGAGCAAGAAGCCTACTAGAGGGAATCAAGAAGAGCACAAGAGAAATGATTGAGGAGCAAGAAGCAGTTCGTGGCCGCTTGTTTACTATTCAAGATGTCATGCAAAGCACTGTTCGAGCTTGGTTACAGGTATCAATACTTCAGAACTTTCATTTAGAACACTTTTCTTACCTTCAGCAGACAACTTTATATTGTTCAACGTAGGTTTACATGACAATTATCTTACATCTTCTGAATATCTATCCAGGATAAAAGCCTTCGGGTGACCCATAATTTAGCTGTATTTGGTGGTGTTGGCGTTGTCCTCACCATCGTTACGGGGTTATTTGGGATCAATGTTGATGGGATACCTGGGGCAGAAAGTACACCATATGCATTTGGTGTTTTTACAGCCATCCTTGTCTTTTTGGGAGTTGTGCTGATTGCAGTAGGCATGGTTTACCTTGGGCTGAAAAACCCCGTTGCTGAAGAACAGGTTGAAGTTAGGAAGCTTGAACTGCAAGAATTGGTGAAGATGTTTCAGCATGAAGCAGAGACTCATGCTCAAGTCAGGAAAAACATTTCTCCAAAAAACTTACCTCCTACTGCTGGTGATGCTTTCCGTAGTGGTGCGGATTATCTTGTCATACAATAGAGAGATACTAATACTATAATTGTCCAAGGATGCTTCAACATCAGTTACTTTTGGTATTAACGACTGTTCCAAATCTTAAGTTAAAGCATGAATTGAAAAAGCATTCCTCTTTGTTTATCCACGTGCTTTGGTGAATGTGGAAGAATCCTCAACCGTGGCTGGACATTGGTAGGCCTCAAAGTCTCAGCCAAAATTCTTGTAGCCTTTGCTCTTTATACGAGTTCTTCATTGAATATATTAATATTATAAGTTTTATATGAATTGAATATTGTACACCTCATGGGTCATCTGTAATTTAACTGAATTTACTAACGCGTATATCTCTCTTTAGTAAAGTAGAATTACGTTGAAGGAACAGTTGCTTGTTTTCAACTCAAAATCAGGCTCTATACAGACTCGTTTATATTTCGAAGCGTAATACTGACAGGAAAAAGGTATTTTTGGAGAGTTTGAATTGGTTTATAACTTAAGAGAGCTTTTAAATTTAATTAATTATTTGCTAATTACTTAAAAAACTTCATGAGTAAATAAATACTTTGTTTTTAACAGAAATGATTGAAAAATCAAATAACAATGTTTCTGAGAAATTTCAGATCTGTAAATTAATTTTAACTCATACAAACAGTTTGATTTATAATGCTCATCATTTTATGTCTTCCCCTATAAATATATAGAAATGTGACTCGTTTCTAAATGTTTCCGTTCATTAAGTTCAACTCACGTGACTTTTCTGTAAACTAAAATTTTGTGCAATCATTAGGAGTTTGTACCCAGTGCAGTTTCTCTTTTTCCGGAAAACTATTTGACATGGGAAATGACCTTTGTGATATCAATTTAATAAAAACTACGGGGGAGAGATGTATGCTTTTGAGCTAAAGGGAGGTAGTATAAAATTTAGAATCAGGATGTACTAAAATTGATTCTCATGAAACTTAAAAAACATACGCAATGCCACTATCATGAAATTTAATCGGTAACTACATAAACAAATCGTCACAAGAAAAGTAGTGCCAAAATATCCTGTACTCGCATGCCAATTAACATTATCTTCAAGGTTCGACCGTTCGAGAATGGAATGAGGTTATTATAAACGTTTATAGGAACTGTCAAAAGACAAGTTTCCTCCTTTGTCAAATATCATATAAATCATTTGAGAAGCGACCTTGCAAGATGTTCTCTGGCTGTGGCCAATGCTTGACTTAGTGTCTGCAATGAAAAAAATACAATTATTCCTCAAAAAAGTATTTAATGTCAATTTTTTCCTTTTTTGTACTAAAGTGAAGGATACAATGTACCTGTTCAGACAAAGGAGCACCAGAATCTATACTATTGCTCGCAACTTTCCCAGCTATAACATTTGGATCAGTTTCAAGAATAATACTGCACAAAATATGAAGACATGAAATTTAGGTGAGACCCTGACGGAGCCAAGAAAAAGGTAGAGGTGATATAACAAGGAGAGAAGTGCAGAGGTGAAAATTAGGGAAAGCTCAGAGGCGTATGCCTTTTTCAAGATAAATATGATTTATGGTCTGATTCTACTGGCAGCTTAAACATCAAGGTCTATAACTATGGCTGTACTGTGCATTTTCCCACGAAAACCTGGACATAAAACATTTAAGGAGTAGCAACACTAGTAACTGTATCCAAGTCATGTCATGTCATCTAAGGTTAGGCCATGATCTGTGAAAATGTATGGCTTGCTGGCTTGATACACCATTTATGCAAACATCCTAATAACCTAACTTCATTCAAAACGTGGCATCTTTTCATTTAACCGGGGCAAAAACATATCTTACCTCGGGGATGTAGTTGGCTTAACAATGAAAAAAGAACTTAAAAATATGTATCAAATAGCTCCTACAATTTGCAGTTTGGAAGAAGTGGGAAGAGCATGAGAAGATATGGAGAAGCTAACATACAAACAACTGAAGAAGATAAAATTCATATGAATAGCATATAGCATACCCGCCATCAACAATTTCATCAATGCACAATAGAATGAGATCCAAGTTCTCAAGTGCTTCCTTCTTGTCCACATTGCCTCTGGAGGGGAAAAGGCAGTATAAAATCATCAACGACTACTGTTTTAATACTTAATAGTGATAGATTGACAACACCCTTGACTACGACACATAGATAAATAGTTAATTTAAGACAACAACCTGAGCAGGAGCCCCACAGAATCAAAAAATGCCTGAAGAACCGTGGCTAAGATAAGCTCGTTTTCATAATCACCACCAGTAACAAAGAAGTGAAGATCTTGGACAAACTTGTAAACAACAATGTTATTCTCAAACATTGCTATTTCCGCTGTCAAACGAAAACCCATGAAGGCAATAAAAACCACGTCAACACTCAACATTAACAAAATAAGGTCCTACAGGATCAGTGAAAATCAATCTATCCCAAATGAAGCAAACACAGGTAAATTTTCATCGACAAATCATGGCATGGTCATTGATCATGTATTTATATGACAGAAAATTGTGCACCTTCTGTACGAGCATTGGTCTTCTGAGTCTTGGTGAACACAACTTTCTCAAAGTTTTCCTTGGCACTATTCGTTGGCCAGTCTTCAGAGAAGTATTTGACAGCAACGCGTTTCCCATCAGAATCCAACAGAAGGATGTTCTTTACAGAAGGGCATGTCCCCTAAGGAAACACAGAAAAAAAAAACGATCAGAACATCCCTCAAAAGGACCTTGTGAAAACGTTTCAAAATCTCAATCTAGCTTCAAATGATTTCAATTTCCATAGAACTAACAAAAAGTCAACACAGTTTAATTGCAACCTAGTGTTGGGTCATATCAGAGTAATGTTATCCAGCAAATAAGCTAAGAGTGATCTGATTTTGTAACCAAAATTCAAATGACAATAGCCCTACATAGATAAATAGTTATACGAATTTGATGAGATAATTCAATTATGATTGTAGTGCAAGGAAGGGAAGACATGCATGCATATAAAATAAAAAATTAGGTATACTATATGAATCTGATCCGAATAATAGACAGAAAGAGAAATGAAGAAAGAACAGATCTGGGTTGATGCGAAGTGGGTGACCGAAAAGGAATGAAATTGAAGTGTCGAAAAGAAGAGAGAAACACAGACTTACGTGAGACATGATCGGTCGGGGAACAACGAGAGAACACTTTCACTCAATCAAAATTTTCAACCTCTGTCAACTCAAGTACTTGAGCCCCTTTTGTTATTTATTTATTTAATAATAATAATAATAATAATAATAATAATAATAATAATAATAATAATAATATTCTTATTATTATTATTTTCACTGATGAGATTATGTAATTTAAAAGTGTAAATTAATTAAAAATGTGAGCATTTATTTATTTTCTGTAAGTATCACTTATATATTATTAATTTGATTGGTCAAAACATAAAAAAATAATCAAATTAAACACGGAATTAAAATAAAATAAAATAACCAAACCAATATGAGCTATTTTAATTTTTTTGAATTATGTTAGAAGAGTTTAACTGAGCTGTTGGAGTAAGTTACTGTAAATTTTATTTATGTGTTAAGTTATTGTAATTTTTTGTATGCGTTCAATTTTTACTAATAATTTTTTAATAAAAACAATATATGAATTGTTGGAGACATGATACATCAAATTACTCGAACCATTACCGCCCCATGAAAAAACAAAGTCTATATTTTTTTAAAACATTTATACTGTCTCTGAATCCAATCTCTTTTTAAGAGAATCATTATAAACTTCCATTTACAATGACCTAGTTAGAGTTAAAAAAAAAAAAAAATTGTAGCAATTCAATTATTGTTTCTGACAATATAGAACTTCATAGGTATCCACTTTAAAGTTCATTGGCGTTTGACCCAATCTGAAACATATAAACTTGACTTCAGGAAAAAGAACACCTTCCGATAAGATAATTCTCCCCTTTGCATGACAAAAAATTGAAACAAACAGGCTCAAAGCGATCTGCTTCGCAGGCAAAAGAATACATTCTATGCTCATAAGGCAAAGAAGAATCATGTCTGTGAGTCAATGCTAGGCAAAGGAAGAAATGAATAATAAATTATGTACAACATATTATTAGCAATATTCTTTGATTTGTTTATTCAGTCTTGTCAGCTCCAAGGCGAATCTTGTTCAAAGACTCTTTAAAAGCTTGCCAAGAAACCATATAATGGTTTTGGGATATCATCCCCTCTTCAACAACTTGCATGGCACGTTTGTACAAATGATCATAACACTGAACTGGGTTGCTAATATCAACATTATCAGCACTAAGATGAGGTACATACAAACGCTTAAAATCTTTCCTCCATCTCGACAAAATGTACTGGCATGGAATTTCCTCAACACCATTGTAATTAAGGATATATAAGGCATGTCTGCACAGGTAGCCTTTGAAATTAAAGCAACTACAAATGCAGCGTACCTCTGCTCCAGCTTTATCATACACGACTTCAAAATTCCTAGCATCTGATGCAGGTTCTTCCCCTTCGCATTCTTTTACCATATATGTCACCATGGAGCCACTTGTTTGAGTCTGTGTGATGCTGAAACAAGAGGGCATCATAACTACCTCATCTTGGAACTTCCTAAATACAGCATTTGTGTACAATTTAGAGACTTGCAACTCATAGTAGCATCTTGTCTTCAGTAATGAGCTCAAATCACGTGACTCAAAATCATCAAGAACTTCGGTTTTATGTTTTTTTTGCTGAACTAATTCATAAATCTCAAAAAATTCTTTCAAAGAAGTTTGTTGATGCACATGACCCTTAAAAAAGGGAACCACAGACTCACCCTTCTCATTATCAGATATTCCAGCAAAAAATGTGTCTTTGGAGTACACTGGAGTCCAATGCTCTCGTTCCTCGTGCAAGGTTTGGATCTTTTCATGATTTCTTATTCCAAAATGCTGGGTTAGATCATCCCAAGCTCTTTCAAACTCATCTACTGTTTTAGAGTCATATACAACTTTAGTAAGCGCAATTTGAAAAGCCTCATACTCCTGAAACTGCACAAAACACCCAAGAATGCTCTGCATGACTTGAGATAGACAGATTCTATGGTGTGCTCTCGGGAAAACCTCTGCAATTGCACTTTGCAAGGCTTTACACTGGTTTGTGATCATAGTTTGTGGAGGGCGACCAGTCATACATGTAAGCCATGCCCTAAATAACCAAACATATGTTTCAAATGTCTCATCTGCGAGTAGACCACATCCTAGCAAAACAGATTTCCCGTGGTGATTAACACCAACAAATGCAACAAGAGGAATCTCATAGTTGTTTGACAAACAGGTTGAGTCAAATGCAATTACATCACCAAAATAACTGTAAGCAGCCCTAGATCTAGAGTCCATCCAAAATACATTCCTCAGTAGTCCATCATCATTCAGATCCATAACATAGAAAAAGTTAGGATTGGTCAATTGAATGCGGCAGAAGTAATTTGAAATAAGCTCCAGATCACCTTTTTTAAGTTTCAAACGCTTGGAACAATTAATGTGGTTGCTAGTTCGTCCTTCGGCAGAATTTGAGCTTCCATAGCCTGATGCATCTACAACAGGCATTCGATATAACTTGATTGTTCTTACTTCAACATCTAGAGTTGGCTCAAATTTTCTCTTGGCCCTACTGTCCATCCTCTTATGTGATTTAGAATTTTGTGCTCTTTCAGGATCAAATGAATGGTTATGCTCAAGCTTTACTTCATCAACTCTCCACCTGTTAGATTCCACTAATCTCAATCTAATCATTGCTAGACAGCCCGTTCTTGTTTCTTTCCTATGACTATTTGCTTCTTTGGTTGTTTTGAAACCCTCACAGTTGCAGCACAAAACAGCACCACGCTTCTCTTTGCTGTTACGTTTCGTCCACGAAGATTTAACTCGAATGGCAAATCCAATTTCCTTGGCATAGGTATTGTAATAGTTGTATGCATCATCATAAGTATCAAACTCCATTCCCACAACTGGTGGGGGGCAGTCTTTCCCTTGAGACTCTCCACTATGACTATCAACTACTGTGGTTTCATCCCTCAAATTTTCATGTTCACTTCCATCAATCTCAAATAATTGTCCACATTCATTGTCAAGCTCATCGTCATCATCCTCAACTTCAAGAAGTTGCTCACTGTTTGGAGAACCATCATCTATCTGAAAAGGGTGAAAATCTTTCAAATTCAAAACAAGATCTAAAAAATTTGAGCATGCATTAAAATTTGACAGAAGTTTAAATATCCTTGACCACCAAGCTCATAATGACCATGTTAGTGGCCTAACGAAACTTTCTGTTGCTAATTGGTATGAGGTTTCTTTTATTTTTTGCAGACAAAATCAATATCCTTTATTTATCCACCCCTCTCACCATATATAGTAATTATATATTTGAAGCAATAACTAAGATAATTCTTCCACACAAGTTCATAGCCCAGATCTAAAGCAATATTCAGAAATGCATTAGATATCTGTCTGATTTAACTAACAAGATAATGGAAATCTGTTTGTCCATCATTATCTTTTATTTTCATAGGACCATGGATAATTTAATATGAAACAGGTATAGGGCTACAAAGAATTCTTAAAAATTGAAGATGTGATACAGCCTAGATACATTAATATGAGTTATAAAAAGGTGCCTTTTACATATAAGAATGATATTCATAATGAGATATTGACAATTTCTCATTGACATAGTTGCACAATATTCATAATGAGACATTTATTGTATTTTAAATTGAAAAACAGTTGTTTTAGTTAAAAAAAGTATTGTATTTTATGGCGTAACTAGCAAACGTAAGTATTTTTGACACTATATACCTAACATATAGGCCATAAAACTACAAAGGAAAAGTGGATACTCCTTATTAGGTAAGTATCCAGGTATATAGTATGCATATGACATATCGGTTGCATATTGGTATTTAACATACATAGAACACCAATATTTCACAAATTCAGAAGTATCAGCTTACCCAGTGATAACAAGACAATTAATACAATTCTCTCATCTAACTCTCAAGAAATTCATAGCAGTGCAGCATTGTAAAAAAAATCATCAGTCCAATGACAGAGCATCATTTTCTCAAAACTGGGAAATCCACTTTGAATTCATTTAACAGACAATAACAAGTTTTAATACAAGAATGATCAAGAGCTTAAGGTTCCTCAAGACCTACTGCAACATGATAATTAGAAACAAAAAAAGTCAAGAATTGAGCTGAAAACACTGGCTTTTAAAAGTTTTAGACTTCCCAGCAATGCACAACACAAGAAACAGCATGAGGACATAAAAGAAATTTTACCGTGATATCAAGATTAGGACTCAGCGACAAGTCCTTGTCGCTTGGAGAACACATGGTATCTTCAGTCATAGCAAGGGAGTTCTCATGAGTTCTGTCAAAGTATGAGATATCAGTTATCCTTGCCATGGTGATAAGCTCACATTTCAAGTAATTGCATTTACTCCAAACATACTCACAACAAAATGCAACAATATGAGTCTCAGTTTTATCAACAAAACAAGAGATGAAAATGTTTTAGTCAAACAAGTTGAAAAGACACGGTTCATCAAATTCACATATGAATTTGGAATGGACAAAAGCAGCGGATACGACAAACATAATGATGAAAAACTAAATCCCTCACACAAATTGATTGTCTACATATTCATTAATTCCATAAATGCTAGAAGAAATATTAACTACAAACACATGGACAATTTACTGTTACTGAAATTAGGATTTTACACATAATCAAGTAATTGAACAAATGGGATTCCATTTAGGTTTGGGATAAATCGACACGAGTCAACAAAATTGTGACGACATAAAAGGAATAGCGGCGGAAATCAGATAAAGATTGAAAGAAAGGTGAAAAAAAAAAGAAGAAGAAAAAAGATAGTTGCAGCGAGGAAAGAGAATCGTAAAAGTTAGGTTGTAATGAAAGTGATAGAAACTTACGGTAACAGAGAGGAGAAGAAAAGAGAGTGGCAGTGAATGAAATGCTGTGTTATGCTCTGTCTTCTGCACGCGTTGTTCTTTGTGCTATCTATCTATTTTCTTTCTCTTTATCAACCTTTTTACTAAAATGCTTTTTTTAATGCTATAAAATTAGTAGAGAAAA